CACCAAGTTAAGCCAAGAGATGAGACTGTTGCCTCAGGCGACACTGCTCTCTGAGGTCTGTGAGAGATTGTGTGACAGAGCCACACAGCTCAGCTGCATGGGGATTCCCAAATCACAGAAGCCAGAGGATGATAAAGGTTTGTTGCTTCCAGCTGGTGGGCTCAAGGGCCATTTGTTATGCAGCAGTATGTAACCAATACAAATGCTAAGGGAGTTGAAAACCAGGGGTCAGTAAGTTTATTCTGTATCCTTCCTGTGGTGGGGAAGAGTTGGGGAAGAGAAAGGACCTTTCCCTTAAATTCTCTTGTTCCCCTTATCTCTACTCACCACCATACCTCAAGGTGCAGCAGCCAGAAAGTGGTCTCGCCGGTTCTGCAGCAGCCTCTCAAGGTCCAGATGGGGTAAGGCTCAGTCCTTTTCTCCAAGAGGAAAAGACATAGACTCAGAGGGAGGAGAGAGAAGGAAGTGGAGCTCCCAGATGCCAGGATCCTCTCTTTGGTTTGTTTGTGAAAGTGAAATTAAGTGTTGGCTGAATTATACAGAGCCAAAATGCACACTTGACCTGGACAAGGTTTGTTTAATGGGGAAACAGCTGCACCCAGACAGAATGGGTGGGAAACCAAGTTCCAACTGTGGGGCAGAAAAATAAAAATACTTGAGAAAGGGCTCCTAGCGAGTCTGGAACCTTAAGTCCCTGTCCACCTACCTGGAGACCCTAGAGTCCACTTGGGCTCAATATCAGAGTCTTTTTCACCAGCCCCCAGACTCCCCTTGCCCAGGTCCCATATCCCAGTGAACTTGACTTTTTCCAGTTCCTTGTACACAACTAGCAGGTGGAATCCATACTTCTGCCTGGCGGGGAAGAGCACATATTAATATACTAACAGAAAATGAACAAAACAGGATTCATGCCTAACGAGAGTTTTAAAGAAGGCCTCAAGTCTGTAACTACCTTCAAACAGAAAAACATAATAAAAGATGTCTGCTGATGTGGCCCATCTTGGGTTCCTGGACTCCAACTGCACTTAAGAGAGCTCCTAAAAAAAACAGATTTTATTTATTTGACAGAGAGGCACAGCGAGAGAGAGAGAGAGAGCACAAGCAGAGTGGGAGAGGGAGAAGCAGACTCCCTGCTGAGCAGGGAGCCTGATGTGGGGCTCGATCCCAGGACCCTGGGATCAGGACCTGAGCCAAAGGCAGACGCTCAACGACTGAGCTACCCAGGTGCCACTTAAGAGAGCTCTTTACAGTATTTTTTAGTATTTACAAAGTTTTAAGGTAAATCATATAGTCATTTCTGTTATGGCCCCACAGGCTAACCAAGAGTTTATTTTTTCTTCATGGAAACATCTTGTAGAAAATAAAATGTCTTTTTGGTTTCCTAGTTTTATTGAGATGAAATTAACATATGACATGGTATTAGTTTTTTCTTTTTTTAGGATTTTATTTATTTATTTATTTATTTGACAGAGAGAGAGAGAGAGAGAGAGCGCGAGCACAAGTAAGCAGAGTGGCAGGCAGAGAGAGAGGGAGAAGCAGGCTCTCTGCTGAGCAGGGACCCCGATGCAGGGCTTGATCCCAGGACCCTGAGACCAGGACCTGAGCTGAAGGCAGCTGCTTAACCAACTGAGCCACCCAGACGTCTTAAGACATGGTATTAGTTTAAGGTGTACAGCATAATGATGTGATATATATATACACATACACATATGTGTGTATATATATATATATATATATATACAGTGCAAAGTAAATTTAGTTAACATCTGTCACCTCACGTAGTTAAAATTTTTTTCCTGTGATGAGAACATCTTTTTAAAAAAGATTTTATGTATTTGTTTGCCAGGGGGAGAGAGAGCACAAGCAGGGTGTGGGGGGGTGGTAGAAGCAGAGAGAGAAGGAGACTCCCCGCTGAGCAGGGAGCCCCATCCGAGGACCCTGAGCCTCTCAGAACCCTGAGCCGAAGGCAGATGCTTGACTGACTGAGCCACCCAGGGGTCCCAAGAACTTTTAAGATTTACTGTTGGGGCACCTGGGTGGCTCAGTGGGTTAAGCCTCTGCCTTTGGCTCAGGTCATTATCCCAGGGTCCTGGGATTGAGCCCTGCATCGGGCTCTCTCCTCAGCGGGGAGCCTGCTTCCCCTTCTCTCTCTGCCTGCCTCTCTGCCTACTTGTGATCTCTGTCAAATAAATAAATAAAATCTTAAAAAAAAAAAGATCTACTGTCTTGGTGACTTTGAAATGCACAATACATTCTTGTTAACTCTAGTCGCCATACTGTACATCCCATCCCCTGGACTTGTAACTGGCAGTTTGTACATTTTGACCTCCTTCTCCCATTTTGCAGCCCCACCTCTGGCAACCACCAATCCGGTCTATGCCTCTGAGTTCAAGGAATCCAAATTTCTTATTATCCCATAAATATATTTTGATAAGGTTATGGAATCTTCTGAAATAAGAGATTCATGAATGCAAACAAAGACAATAGGACGTTCTTAATCTTGAAAAGGTTGGGAACCACTAGTTTTGACCAGCCCCTTTGTCACAAGTGAGAATGCAGGTTGTGTGATGTGAAGGGACAGAAAGTCTGCCTAGAACCCAGGCCTCCTGGCTCTGTGTCAGCAATCCTTCTACAACCCTATAGCAGCTCTCCCTTCATGGAAAGAACAGATTACATTTCTTAAATGTTTGGACAAAGGCAAGGAGCAAGAAATAGCGGTGGAAGTTATAGGGAGGGAAATTTTTGTTTTGTAAAGCAATACACAAACAAAAGTTGGAACTTTTCAACCAGGAGAGATGCTTCCTTGAGGTGTCTGGAAAAACTGTGAAATGAAATGGAAAAAAGAATTATTAGGTATCAGAGGGCATGCTGGGCCTTTCTGGGTTATTTGCGTTTATTACTGATTTGTGCCTCCTATGGTCTTGTAACTATTTTACAATTCTGTAAATTGTAGAAAACTGCTCAGAAGGCAAATAATTCTTGTCCATAGAGATGCAAATGAGATCTTTCCCACGGAGAAGCCAGTTTTGCATTTAACATACTCATTTCAGCATTCCTGATTGGGTCCTTCTCTTAACAGTTTTTTGACACCTTAATTGTTCCCTCATTAATTAGTCAAATAAAATCTTTGATGTGTGTTCATTTTATAGTTGTCTGAGAGTCATGATTTTATCTTTATTTTCAATATTTTATTTATTTATTTGAGAGAGAGAGGGAGCAAGCACTGGGGTGGGGGAGAGGCAGAGGGAGAAACAGACTCCCTGCCGAGCAGGGAGCTGACTCAGGACCCTGGGATCATGATCTGAGCGGGAGGCAGAGGCCTCACCGAATGAGCCACCCAAGTGCCCCTGATCTTATCTTTTTAAAAACAATTATCTTTAACAAGGAGGCCTTGAATGTTCCATCTGTGGATGTGTTCAGGCAGAAGCTGAACGGCTATCCTTGCTCCTTATTCCAGAGTCCTATGGCCCTATCCAGACTTTAATGTAAAGCTGTTCAAATATCTGTTTCCCTCAGGAGACTCTCTTTTTCTAAGGCGCGGGACTCGGCTATCCATCCCCACTAACAAAAATTTAAGGGAAGGTGGGATACGGTTTCTGACTTACTCACCTTTTCCATGTATGACCACCAGGGGGCGCAGAAGCCTTCCTTTATCAAGGTCGGGAACCCCTCTAAGGGAAGGCCGGGGATGGAAGGAAGCGACCCTACAGGGAGCATCTGGGCTGAGAACCAGAGTTCATCCACCGACCGCCTGCAGACAGTATCTTTATGGGAGGCGATGAATCAGCATGGAGCAAGCACTGAGATCGCAGAAGAGGGCAAAGTTCTGTTAGAATGACGAAAGTACTTACAGCCTTTATTTTTAAAAATTTTATTTTTTATAAACATATATTTTTATCCCCAGGGGTACAGGTCTGTGAATCGCCAGGTTTACACACTTCACAGCACTCACCGTAGCACATACCCTCCCCAATGTCCATAACCCCACCCCCCTCTCCCAACCCCCCTCCGCCCATCAACCCTCAGTACTTACAGCCTTTTAACCTGAATACAGAGCACACAGTCTCCTCCTGACTTGAGAATTCAGTCTCCCGAACGCCAGTCCACTGGCGGAGCGCGGCCCGCGGCTGGATAGATCATCGGTTCCCCTCGAGGAAGACGAATGGGAAAGAGGGAAGGGCGCGTGGGGTGGGGCATGGAGGGAGGGGTCAGCACGAAGAACCCGCCCACTTTTTCAGAAGGCACATCCCACCTGCGGACCCGCACCGCGGAGGAGCCGAGGCGACTTCAGCTTTCCAAATAGAGATACGCGGGTCTCCATGTTAGCACCCGGCGCTCTGCGGCACGAGCCAGTCATTCCTCCCCCGTCGCCCGGGCCTCACGGCACACCCAACTGGGGATTCACTCCGCCTTACAGACGCGGAAACGGAGTCCCCTAGCGAAACGGCGACTTCCCCAAAGTTGCACACATTCTGAGCAGCAGGTGCTGGCTTCAGCGCTGGATTGCGCCCCTTCCTCGGAGGAGCCCCGACTGCCGGCTGTGTCAGACCCAAATTCTTCGCCCCCACCTGCCCCGTCCCGTCGCATTCCCAGTTATTTCCTCTAGGAACGCGCGTCCACAGCGTCCACCCGCAGGCCCCTGGACGGCCAAATCCGGCACCCGGAGCGCCCTTCCTCCCGGCGGGACGCCTGGTTCGCCCTCCCACCTGCGAGGCGCAAAGCGCGTCACCCGAGTTCTCGGTTCGCCCGACCGCGCGGGGCTGGAGCTGGGCTCGGCACAGCCTGGAGCAGCCGGGGAACGGCGGGCGGGCGGGCGGACGGAAAGGGTGGGCTGTCCGTCGGTCCCGCGGGCCCGGCCCTCCCTCAGGACTTCCCCGCCCCCTGAAGGGGCCGCCGCGCGGGTAGCGGGAGCCGTGGGGGCGGGGACCGGCTCGGGCCCTTTAAGGAGGAGCACGGGGCGCGGCCCAGGTGAGGGGCGGGCCCGCCGGGCGGATCTGCGCTGCGCGCCGGCGCCGGCCCGGGAGCCGGATTTGGAGCGCTCGGCGCCGGCGGGGCCGGAGGGGGCGGCGCGGCGGAGCCTCCAGTGGCCTCGGACGCTCCTCCTAGCCCGCGGCCGCCGCCCGCCTCCGCCTGCGCCTCCAGTTCTGTAGCCCCGGCCTGCCGGCCGCCACTTCCGGTCGCTCACCTGGGACGCGCTCACCTGCCTCGGGGCGCCTGGGCACCAGGATGAAGGACCGGCTGGAGCAGCTGAAGGCCGTGAGTCCCGCCGCCCCCGGGAACTGGCGGGCCGGGGGCTGCAGCTGCGCGGGACCGGGCCTTCCCTTTGCTCCCCACATCGGGGCTGGAGGGGGCCCCCGCGCGAGGCTTGAGCTCCCGGAGCTCCAGCCGCATCCGCGCCCCTTCCTCACCCCCCTCCCCTCCTTTTCGGGGTCATGTGCCGGTGATTCATCCCTGGGCTGCGATTTCCGTGGATGCCTGCCGCTCTTCCCCCGCCCCGCCCCCTTCCTCCAAGCTGGACAGTGTCACTCCAGAGCTGGGGTCTGCGGGCGAGGGCTGCCTGAGCCCAGCGGGATTCTCTGTGAAGTCAGGGGTCATCTCCGCCTGCCTGCTACTGCCTGGCACTCTGCCCAGGATTGGCCTCCTCTTACCCTCCTTGTCTCCCTGAGTGGGGCGTCGAGTCGGGCTGCCCCTACCCACCCGGAGCAGCTCAGAGTTCCTGGGTGACCTCCTGAGCTGGGAGCTGGTCACGTGCCAGGATGGGCTTTGCTCCCCGCCATTCCGAGGTCTATAATTAATTTCTCCCCCATCCTTCGGACAGCTGGGCAAAGGATCCGAAGGTAGACCGTCTTTGGTCCCACTGCACTAAAGCTGAAAAACAGTCTACTTACCCTTCTGAGCTTCTGTTTCCTTATCTTTTGAGTGAGGATGATCATGCCTTAGAGATTTGTTATGATATCAAATGACATAATGGGACTTGATGTAGAGAATTGTTAAAGCGTGGGTATTTGAGTCATTGACTCATTCTACATTCTATGGGGCAGGCCCTGTGCTAAGCCCTGGGGATTGGGTGACACAGGCTCTGTCTTTATGGAATTTTAAATCTAGCCTTTGACAGATACAGAGCAGTCCCTCTACCTGGGAGCTTGTTAGGTAGTGAGAAGCCTAGGCCTCTCCCCACCCCCGCCCCGCCTGGACCTACAAAATCAGTCTGATTACTCAGGAATCTCCCCAAGTGAGGCAAAACCACATTCAGCTTTGGGGAGCACAGGAATATATAGAACTGGGTTTGCCTCCTGGCTGCACTGCTTACTCGGAGCCTAGTTTTGTCATCTGTAAAGTGTGTGGTTGTGAGGACTGGTAGTGGGAGAGCACACAGAGCCCTTTGCAAGGTGCAGAGCACAGGTAGGATTAATACACGGTAAATATTTTGCTGGTAGCTGTAAAAACTCTTTGGAAAAATCCAGTCCTACAAGTGTGAGGGACTGCCGGGAGGGCATTGGGTTGGTATTTCTTTCTCCTCCCTTGTCTCTGGTGGGACCTTCATGCCCCCCTCGCCTGCTCTGCCAGCTCTGGGTCTTAGGGCTGCAGAGGGGGCCAGGGTGATGGGGAATGGGGGATGCAGAAGGCACAGCTGCAGAGAGTGGGAGGGAGACTCCTTGCCTCCCGCTCGCCTTGTCATCTGAGCCTCTTAACATCCTGGTCACCGACGGGACAGATTTTAGTGCCCCTGTTTTCATACAAGAGGCAAGTAGAGCCCAGCTTGGGTAGGAGGGGTATCCCAGAGCTGGGCAGGGCACAACCCGGAGAGGAACCCTGGCTCCTGACGCTCTCCACCGGACTCTTTTCCTGAGGTGTGCTGGTTGGGGGGGCAGGGAGGAAAGAGGACTGTGGTTTTGAAGTTTTTCCTCTATTGGCCAGCACACCCACCAGTCCTAAAACAGTGCTGAACTGAACCGGTGGCAGAGGCAACTCCCTTCCTTGTGTTAGGAAATCCCTTTCCAGAGGAAGATAGCCCACAGCCCCTTTTAAGCCCACTGTCAACAAATAGCAGAGAACTTTGAGTTCTGAGTTTCCTTGCCAGGAAAGCCAAGCAAGTCCCTTTGGTTGGTTCCCCGAGCCTCTTTGTCACCCGCTGTCAAATGGAGTTCACCTCCAGGGAAGGTCAGGGTGCCGCCCTAGTGTTTTGGAGCTGGGAGTCGGCCGGAGCGGAGCAGAGAGGACCAGGCTGCAGGTTCAAAGGTTCTGATTGTCGCCCAGCCACTGAAGAGCCGGGTTCCGTCCCATCCTTTATCCTTCTGCTTCTCTGTTCCTCTTTTGTTAAACAAGAACTTTGGTTCACCTCGGAAGCCCCTCCTGGTTCACGTCTTCTGTGAGGTCTGCTCAGGTTTGCTTGGATTTTTGTTTCTAGTCCACACCCTGCCCCCAGCCCCCTGCCGGTGAGAGGTGCCTTCCCTGCAGCAGGGTGACCCTCCCTCTGATTGCTTTCATCGGTGAAGGACATTCGTTACCCTGCATGAAACCCGTTTCACATGGAGCAGTCCTGTGCAATCTCCTCTGTGGGATCTTTCTAAACCTTTAGGGGAGGCGAGCTGATAACTGCCTCCAGATAGTTGGAGGGCTGTCATGTGCAGGAGATTAGCTTTCCTCCTTGTAGATAAAAGAAGATTGACGTTGATGCTAGAAGGAAGGACTCTGCACAAAAGCTTTGTCGGTAGTGAGAGCTGCCCAAGGATGGACTGGATTGGCCAGAGAGGTTGGGAACCCTCAAGCCGGAGGTGGCAGGTGGGGGCAGGGTGAGGCAGGAAGCTTGTGGGATGTTGAACATTGTAGGAATTTGAACAGTGAAGGCAAATGAAAAGATTTCAGGCCCTCATCCACCCTAATGATGTGTGGATGCTTTGTTGTGTGTGAGTCGGTTCTAGGTGAGGTGAGGCTCGGGGGTTTCTAGGACTGAAGTCTCAGGGTTGCACCCATAAAGTGGGTCATTGTGCGGTCCCCAGAGCACCGTTGTGGAAGTTGAATGAGATAATCTGAGATAATCACACACCATAGGACATGTGAGTTCCTCAACCTGACCTGCTGGGAGTACCGTCCACACTGAGGGGCATCCCTCCCAGAGGCCAGGGTCACAAGACCTGACTCATCCCTTTCCCTGCTCTTCCTGGTTGTCTTAGTCAGCAGCCTGCTTCCCCAGGGAGGAGGACAGGCTTGCCAGGAATGGGCACTGCTTACCCCCAGCCCGTCTCACAAGGCGGTTCTTGCTGATTTCTCACTTAGCCGACTTTGGGATCCTTGGAGTCCGTGCAGTTCCTGTCCGTGCTCCCTTTTCATTCAGCAAACATGTACCGAGCACCTACCATGGCCCAAGCACCAGTGATGGGTACTGGGCTTTACTGGCGATTACCACCTGTTCCTCCATGTTCATAGGAAGTTCACAGGGAGATGCAGGAGAAGCAGAAGATGACAATACTGTCCTTGGGGACGCTACCGTGGGAAGACCCCATTGACTGGCCTCTGGGGACAAGGCACTAGAGGGTGCTTCCCAGAAGGGATAGTTAGCTGGTTTTGTTGAGACCAAGTCTCATCTCTCCAAGACACGTAAAATCTCCTGAGAGGGGAGGATCTGGATTTTCCGAGCCACTCTCCCACTGGTGAGCGCTTCCCTTCTTCACCACGATCAGTGCTTTGGGACTTGTATGTGCTGGGAAGGCTCAGCCTCATCCTCTTGGACCTCTTCCTCCTGGACATCATGTTAGACAGAATTAGGACACAGAGTCCGGGTCTTAAAGAGTAAATGGTCACGTATAAGAGAAGAACCCAAATCAAAGGTAGGTTATGATAGCAGGGAAGCCAGTGATGTCAGGAATCGAGGTCAAGTACTTTGGACCCCCTGAAGTTGGCCTGTGAAGGACTAGAAATAACTTGGGGTACATCGGGCCCTCCAAAGCCAGTGCCAATAGGGACACACTAATGAAATCAACCACGTGGGGCTTAAAAGGCCAGATGGACTCTTTTTTCTTTCTCTTCTGTTTTGTGTCTTACTGCAAACCCCAAAGGCTCCTTGGCCTCCAGTCGCATTTGACGTTCTGGGGGTCTCCTTGGGATGGGGGGATCCCGATGGTAAGGGTTCGAGGGTAACCCTGTCAGAGGCATGAGGCTGTACTTTCCCTTTAAAGCTTACTTCATTCAGTAAATATATATTGGGCTCCTATTGTATGCCAGGTGCTTTGGCTCATAACCAAATCTTGACATCCTGACTTGAGAATCTTTTCACCGAGATTCAACTTAAGAGCCTTTTCACTGAGCTTCTGTCCTTTAGTGATAAGATTTCTCACTGGTCAGTGGTTTCTTCCTGGGAGGATTCACCCCATGGGAGAGTGGTTGAGCTGGAGCAGACAGGAGGCCCCACTGGGATGAGTGACAGGGGATTGAGCAGGGATTACGGACTCATCAGCCAGAGGCCAGAAGAGAAAACGCTTGGAGGAGAGAAGGGGATTAGATTTATTTTTGTTCCTGGGAGTGAGGGGGAGGCCGGGGCCTGGCAGAAGCTGGGGGAGAAATGCTTGTTTGTGTCATGCTCTCTCCCTTCTCCAACTGTCAAAATTCCTACCTATCTTCCAAAACACATTCTTTACACTCACCCCCCACTAACTGCAGCCTGGATCTCCTCCCTCCATTCCAGGTGCCCACATGGTCCGCACTGCTTTGTAGCAAATGCCTCTCGCCTGTGAGGCCAGTGGGGTTTTTGTCACCATGAAGCAGGCTTGAAACCACCTTCATTTGTTTTTTCATGAATTGGACTCTTTGTCTCCTAGGTCCTATTGTCTTTAAGATTGATGATTCTAGGGCCACCTGGCTGGCTGGGACTCTACAGCAGACTATCCTTAATCTCAGGGTTGTGAGTTCGAGCCCCCACTGGGTATAGAGATGACTTAAAAATAAAATCTTAAAAATTGTTAATTCTCTTCCTTGTTGTCACCATATCATCAGCTGCTGTAAAAATGACCTTTTATTGAGCAGCTACTGACTCTCTGACAGGACTTGTGTTAGGGGCCTTATGGACGTTGTCTCTAACCCTGTCAACTGTGCAAGGCAAGGTGGCGGTTTATATGATTCCCATTTCACAGGTAGGGAGATTGAAGCTCAGATTTGATTGACATTCCCAGCTAGGAAATGTTGGGATCAAGAATCGAACATGTCTGGCTTTTTTAGGTTTTCCTGCATCCGTATTTGATCCTCTCCCAGCTACACTGCAC